TAGGGGTCAGCAAGTAAATCGACAATAGTGTTAATTTTTTATAAAGATTTCACCGTCTGCTGCGCTTGATGCCCTGAATCATGAATCAATCAACCGCCTGTTCTTATTCTTAGGAGCCGAGAATCAAAAGCCGTAAGCTGAATCTAGGTTAAATTCGGTATAATATCTGCTCGGAATTAAATTTGGCATTTTCGTTCATTGCTCCCTTTACATTTATATTGTAATGAACATATAAATCTTCATAATTACAGTGTTATCGACGCGATGAACTCTTATATCCAGCCCATCGTGTTATGTATCCATGAGAAACTCTCCGTAAACACATTGTGAAACTTTGTTATTTGTGAGTAGAACACTACAGATCCTTCAAATTAGTGAGTTACAGCTTGGTTTTATGATTTTGGGATTAAATGAGTGCATTAATTTTGTTTAAACAGTTTTTTTATGCCTTGCTGGATGACCTTTGCGACTTATATTATTATACTGCGTACGAACCCATTGTCAAATTTATGAATTTCCAATTATTCTGTTTCATATCAGAATTTCACGTTTTATCTGCACAAGGACATTGCGACGTGCGAAATTATTTTTATTCATTGTTTCTTTCCAAAATTAAGTTGAAGCGGATATTTGCGTTGCTCAGTTATTTCACAAAATTTAAATTTGCTAATATAATTGAAAGTTGAGTTTTTATGGAAGAACAACGAGCTGATGATTAAAATAACTTTATTTATGTAGCAAAATTTGCATGCAGTATAGCATCATCGTTATTTTGACACAGGTTTCACATTGTGCTCACGCATAGCTTCTCGTGGATATGTAACATGATGAGTTAAATATTGCAGTTGATAGAGATGGCCACAGTCCATTCATGTTCAAACTCGCGCCAGAGGACTACACGTTGATAACAATCATCAATCGTTGTCGAAATGGCCGTGTCGAATGTTCTAGACCGTCACTTTCATACTGAAGACTTATAATGCGTCCTCTTTTCAGACGTTTTCTTTCTTATGCCTTGGCATCATTCTTTCGGAAATTACCAACTTACAATTTGTACTTGATCACGTTGATCTCATCTTCCGTTCTGTCAATCATGCTGACCTCATGGAGAGAAACGTAATTAGCTGGCTTGTTTGTTTCTTTGATCGTTGTTTTACGTGCATTTACTTTAGGGCTGTGCAGAATCTATCGGTTATTGTGCTCAGGGGCATATAGATATGATTCTTACAAAGCTGGAGAATTTGGCGAAACAGGAATATCAAAAAAAGCAGACGGGTTTCTTTGGTTTTCTTAAGGTACTTTGTCCTTTGAATCTTGAGATTCACTATTCAGTATAAATTAACTCCACTATAACTTTAACATGCAGTAAGTAGAGTCTGTGATTTAAACTGGTTTAACCGAGGAAATATCAACAGTAGTACTGGCACAGAAACGGAATTGAGCCGCAACGGAACACATGTCCTGATGAATCGGATCATCCAGCAGCATGGTCGAGGTAGACGCCAGCTGAAGGAAACAGGGAATTTCGGCAGCACTCGCAGTAAAGCGGAAACTGCGGGCAAAACGAACAGGCAGAAGTACACCTATGTAATATACTCAGTATGCTTCCCGTTGATACGCCCTAATGCCGGTCAGTAAAGGTATGCGTTGCTAACTCATGAAGTCACTAGTCTATGTATGTTAAATATTTTGTTGTATTGTTCGCTTTATTTACCAGCCTTTATTCCCGAATTAAATGTTATTGTTTTGGATCCTCTTCCAAACCAAGTCATGAACTATGTTTTGGCGCAATATCCAAACGAAGTTGAGGCATTTTTAACGGCACAAGTAGTTCGTCTCGAGAAGCATAATAGTTGTGAATTTAATTTCGTATTTAGCATTGATCATGTACTTATCACGTCCGTTGTAAAGGATTTGAGCAGTAAATAATAAACAGACTTTTTTGAATTCAGTAAATATATAAACTTTGATTTAAGAAAATTTTCGGATTGCCTAGAAGCTACATGTAAAACCACACCTATTACTCATAAAAATGATCATGCCTGAGTTTATTTACGTGTGTGTATTAACCTTTTACTGAGCTAAATACTCTGTACAGAATTATACACATATAAACATGCTTATTTACGTGTTCCTGTTGCTTAAACCTCCAGTTCATGGGGCCATCGGTTTTCACCATGTAAGTCAGGCGTGATGACAGCTTAAAATGGTTACTGTACCTTTGCATTACCATACTATCAGTTGCCTAATATCAATTTGAAGTCCCATTTCTAACGGCCAGGCATACAAATTGATGTTTTAGCTGTGTTAACCTCCGATGACGATGACAGAACGACAGAAACAAAAAGAGTAGCAGCAAATTACCACACTGCGTCATTTGTGCGGTTTCAAGGGGGCACATTTGTTAAAAAAAAATTACGGTACAATCACCTTCTGTGATACACAAACGTCAGAGAAAAAGGAGACGTACTACCATCAGTGGATTCTAGGCGACAGCAAGGAATAACGTAAAAAACGAAGCAGACCTCAAGAGCTTCTACGTTGAATCGAATAACCAGCCGAACATGGCGTTTTCAAATGGAATTTCTGAGTGGAAATGAACAGTAGTCTGTTAAAGAAGCAGAACACACCCAAACGAATATACTTAAAATCTTTTACACCAAGCTTTCAATTCCATCTTTCTCTTGGACGTACTTGCCTATGCTTATCATTGCCTCGTTAACTGACCATTCCAGCGTTCATAATTTTTTAAGGCTACCGCAATGACTAGAAAAGGTGTTTTTCGCTACTGTATATTTTTATTCTAAATCTAATTTGGTCTCTTTGAATTGGAGTATGGATGAATTTTTGGAGTGTAGTAAAACTCATTTTATGTTCTTTATTATGTTTACGAACAATCAGTCTTCTCATAATGTAACCTTATTTTATGCCATAGTGATTCTTTTCTCTATGGGTAAAGGTTCATGAACGCTTAGGTGGCAGACTAATCGATCGCATATTTTGCCGCACTAATCGAGGTTGCGCTGTTGGTAGAGCGTCGAACATGCATTCGAAAAATCTTTATTTCGAACCTCGGTAGGGTCACCTGCCTTACAACGTTGTGCAGCGCATAAACGAATATCAATTCCTTTGAGGGAAACTGGGAGCCTGAACGGTTTAAGGAGCATTTATCTGTAGAATTAGCCTCAGAAGAATAGCAAAATGCTCCTAGCTGATGACGCAGTAGCCGAGTGTCGAAGGAGTAATGAAGCCGCGCCATGCGTTCAACCAAAGAAGTATGCCACAAGTGGCGCGCAGTTATGATAGATTGTGTAAGAGTGCGATATTTCTACCGTTACAGTATTTTGTTTTTCCACTTTATCTAATTCAAGTGGTATACCAGTATAGATATTTGTCCTTTCTCTGTCACTATCCTTATGTGCCTATTAGCTGCCAATTATATGCCATCTCGTAACACTGGCTGTAAGAAGAATCTCGTTTATTTCGGCTGTGTACTGTACTACACTAATTGCGATCAGTTTGAGCTGTGAGTGTTGATTATTACCTGCTTACATTATGGACGCGAACTGTCACCCATTTAAGCGAAAAGGTATAAAACTGTAATCTGTCAGAGACTATCCTTAACTTTTACGTAAGCGGTTAATACCCTCTCGTCTCCTGCATCAAATACGCTGACAGGCGCAGACTTTATTTCCCCTCCAAAAAGCGAAATTTGTGCTGCCTGCAACACGCAGTAATAGATGCTGAGGTATGGATCAGGAGCAGTGGTTTAAGAATTAACCATCACAAGCTCCCGGCTAGTCTTCCTGATGAAGAACATCATATCATCTGCTCTACTTTCTTTTATCGAACATCTTATCAACTTAGAGAGGTATTCCCGACCTGTGATTCCACAAAATACCTGGGGATTGTGCTGGCAATAAACTGTGCCGGTCTGACCACATGGCCTCAGTGTTCGCAACTTTCGTAGGGCATCTTAGTCTCTTTTGAGACTAATTAGGCTGC